AACTGAGGAGTATTGGGGTTTCGGGTTAGGGGGGGTTAGGTTTAGGGTATTTACCGTTTCCTGCAATGCCGCATGTATGGTCCCACATATCCAAATAAACGATTTTAAGGTTCAGGTCCGCAAATAATAGGAAAAGGGTACCCTTGTTATTGAGGGGCTACAGTTTCCAAACCCGAATGCCCTAAACCCTACTTGGAGGCCCAGGGGACTTAGTAAGTCGGTTATAAGTAGGGTTATAATTAGGGTAACTCCATTTAGGGTACTTATAACTCTACTTATAGTCTACTTACTAAGTCCCCTGGGCCTCCAAGTACATTGCATGCGGAGGTGCCTGACAAGATGGGGAACACGCCTCTCCACTACGCTGCCAAGAGCGGTTTCAATGAGATGGCTGGAAGCTTACTGATTTTCAGCTTTAGGAGACCCGAAGCCCTAAAGCCCTAAACCCTAAACCCTAAACTCTAAGCCCTAAACCCTAAACTCTAAACCCTAAACCCGAAATCCTATAGGTCCCTTCAAGGTAGCCCTATAGATCCTAGGAACCCCTGTAGATCCCTTGCAGGAGCCCTTAAGGACAAATCCGAGGGTCCATGCATATCAGGGTTTAGGATTTAGGGTGTAGGGCGTGATATTAGGGTTTAGGGTTGAGGGCTTTATATTCGGGTCTAGGGAAGTTTAGGGTTTAGGGTTTAGGGCTTTATATTAAGGTTTAGGGTTCGGGTTTAGGGCTTCATATTAGGGTTTAGGGTTTAGGGCGTAAGGGTTTGGGGCTTAATGGGGAATGAGGGTTCTATGGGGTTCCGGGTCTATGGGTTTAGGGTTTATAGGTCCAGGGCTAGTGGGTCTAGTGTGCTGTGACATTGGGTTATACGGTTTCACCCTCGCCTTCTAACGTGATGCTAACAAGGCTTATTGCGCACAATGCAAGTTGAATTTAGGTTCAGGGTTTAGGGCCATCTCCACTTCTTGTGCAAGCTCTTCACAGACAGTGATCGCTGCAGTTTTGAGCTGTTCAAATTAAAACCCCATCGCTTGGCCATTTTTGGCATGGTGTTCCTGTAGCCGCCTTTATGATCCGCGTCTTGAAGCTATCAGGAGTCGAGCTTGCAACAGTGCCTTGGGGATGTGGATGATGTGCAAAGTCTGAAGAAGTTTATATGTTTTCTCTACTCTACATAACTTCAATGCCTGCATGCAAAAACCTCGTGCTGGAAGGACATGTTCTGGATGCTGCTGCAAAGCTAAAGGCGCCGAGTGATGTGTATCTGGTGTTGATTGCCACGTCGAGCCAACGGCTTGCAAGCGCATTCCTTGCTGCTTGTGGCAAAAGCAATCTTGTTGGAGCAGTCGAGTTGCTTTAAGGGGCAAGCGCGAGCGTGGAGTGGCAGTGTGGAACAGACAGCTACAGGTCCCTCATGTGTGCCCTTGAACGGCGGCCATGCTGCGATGGTGCGCTTTTCTTTTGGAAGGCCCGTGCCAACCACAGCAGGGCGAATATTGACGGATGTACAGCCCTTGCCCTTGCTTTCGACAGAGGCCATCTTGAGGTTCTTTGTTTGTTTCTGAAAGCTAGTGATAAAGATGGATTGAGGAGCGGTTCCTGTCACACAGCTTTCGGTTCTGCGTGCTCCAGCGGCCGTGTTGAGATTGCATTCTTACTCTTGGAGAATGGTGCGCAGGATGAATTACACAATAAGAACAGCTTGGCTCTCATTGGTGCAGCTGTTGGTGGCCACATTGAGGTTTTCCGCTTGCTGGCAGAAGCTGGTGCACATGTGGACTTGAGAAGGAATGGACTGAACAAGAAGGGTTGCACAGCTCTGCTTGCGCAGTACGAGCACCTCCGCTTGCATGCGCAAGGGGAGGTACTCGTACTGCGCACGCTGGAAGCTCGTGCTAACCAGCACTTGGAAGACGCCCATGGCAGCACGGTTCTCCTCTTTGCATGTCTCCCTGGCCGTGTTGAGACTGGGCCTGTGCTGTTGGAAGCTGGTGCCAACAAGGACTTGCAGAACTGCAGAACAACGACACCGACACGGCCCTGATCTGTGCCAGCGACAGAGGGCATGTGGACAGTGTACGTGTGTTTTTGGAGGCTAAGGCTAAGGCTAACACGGATTTGCAGAATTGTGATGCCAACACTGCGCTTATCTGCGCATGCCAAAGAGGTTATGTTGAAATCGCACTGGCGATTTTGGAAGCTGGTGCCAACAAGGACTTGCAGAACAATCACGCCAACACGGCTTTGATCTGCGCAATCGACAATGGCCATGTTCAGATCGCGATGCCCCCTTTACTGTTTACCCTAAACCTTATACCGCGATGATCGCGCGCGGTTGCTGGTGGAAGCCGGGGCGGGCAGCAGTGCCAAAATTGTGCCTTGTGCAGAAGACCCCCAAACCCAAAACCTAAATTCACACCGACTCCCACCTCACACCTCCTAAACCCTAAGCCTGAATACAGAGGTGTCTGTAGTTTGAATTAAGTCCTAGTATGATTCAAGGTCTATTCCTTCATTCAGGGATTTTGGAAGGGTTGAGCGACTTGGCCTTAAGAGGCATCCATACCGGGATCTTGTCAGGGCTTGTTCGAACCCTAAACCCTGAAATCCCAAAGCCCTAAACACCCCTCAGCCCAAGCAGCAAAAAACCGCAGCACCATAAAGCCCAAAGCACCAAAGCCCTGACGCCCTAAAGCCCTAAACCCTGAACCCCTAAGGCCCTAAGCCCTAGCCTAGACCCGATTTAGCCTGAACCTGCTGGTAAGCCCTAAAGCCTCAACTTCAAACCGCAAGCCCTAAATCCTCAGCGCCCACCCCTAAACCGGATCCCAGTTTAGTTTAGGGTTTAGAGTCAAGGGTTTAGTGTCTAGGGTTAAGGGTTTAGGGTCTAGGGTTTAGGGTCATGGGTTAAGGGTTTAGAGTCTAGGGTTCAGGGTTTAGGGATAAAGGTTCAGGGTCTAGGGTTAAGGGTTTAGGGTTAAGGGTTCAGGGTCTAGAGCTAAGGGTTTAGGGTTGAGGGTTCAGGGTCTAGAGCTAAGGGTTTAGGGTTAAGGGTTCAGGGTCTAGGGTTAAGGGTTTAGGGTTAAGGGTTCAGGGTCAAGGGTTAAGGGTTTAGGGTTGAGGGTTGAGGGTTAAGGGTTAAGTTGTGTTTTATGAGCACACTGCAGGCCTAGTGATTTGTTAGCCCAGCCCATCGTCAGCCCGAAGCCCTAGACCCCTTAAAAACCCGAGACCCTAAAACCCTAAACCGTAGCCCCAGACCCGAAACCAAGCTGTCTGAGGTAAAGATGCTGCTCCCCAGGAGAGCGGCCATCGACGGGAAGAACAAAAACGGCCAGACTCTGAAATGCCGGATGTATCAGGAGCCTCAAAGATAAAGATGTTGGGTGGCCTAACGATCCCCTTAAGAAACCTAAGCCCTAAAGGCACTGATTTGAGACTCCTTTACCGAAACCATAAACCCTATAAGCACTGAACCTAAAGGGTCTTGGGACTCCTTTTCACTCCCTGTATCCCACACAAAGGGGTTTAGGGTTTTAGGGTTTAAGGTTTAGAGTTTCGAGTTTCGGGGTTTAGGGTGTAGGATCTTCGTCCATAGGGTCGGGGGTGTGCGTTTTAGGATTTTTAGAGCTTTGGGTAGCTTCGTGTCTTAGGTGAAAAAACTCTGAACCCTAAACCCCCTAGGTCTAGCTGTCTAGGGATTCACTTCAGGGTTTATGTTTCGGGAACCCTAACTGGAACCCTTTACGTAAGGGACCCTGTGTTTTCGGAACCCGTGTATTCTGGAACCCTATGTCATTAGGATTTAGGGCTCAAGGCTTGCATTCGCCTTGGGGCTTAGAGTCACATCTCGGGTTTACTTTAGGGGTTCGGTTTGGGGACTACCTTAGGGTTTTGGGTTTAGGGTTTAGTGTCTAGGGTTGTGACAAGGGTTTAGGGCTTAGAGAAATCTTAGGACGTATCTGTTGTTTTTGTTGTGGTTCTATAGGGGCGCTTCAGAACAGGGCTTGGGGCAGAGGTTGGCATTTAGGGAGTAAGTCCAGGCTTGCCTTTTGGGAATAGGTATTGGGCGAAGGTCTATGTTTGGGGATCGGAGTGAGGCTTCATTTTGGGGGGAATAAGTTTTGCGGCGCAGGTCTACGTTTACGGAGTAGGCTTAGGAGTTTAGGAATAGGGTGTGGGGCTTAGGTCGACATTGATTGATGGGTGAGGTTTAGGATTCAAGCGTCACGGTCCAGGGTTGAATCTCAGGGCTTTGCTACAGCGGCTCGCTTTCGAGGTGCAGAACCGGGTAGGATTGAGGAAGCTATGGTTTAAGGTTTCAGGTTTTGGGACTTAAACCCTAAAGCCTAAACCCTAAACCCTAAAAAAAAACGCGAAACCCGAAACCCTAACCCTAGGGTTCAGGTTTCAGGACATCTGCATCAAGGAAGCTTCGAGCTCAAGAGGGTGGCTTGGCATCCGGTTTAGGGTTTAGGGTTTGGGGTTTAGGGCATCCTGCCTTCTAGCTTGAAGCCTGCCTTAGGCACCAGATGACCTTAAAAAGGAGGCTATACGCTTATGCTGTGAATTTCTATCTGGTATCTAAACCTTAAATCCTTTGGGGGGGAAAGACTTGCAATGAGTACCCTGCATATCCCTGCATCATGTATGGAACTCCTACATACACTTAACAGAACCTAGACGACGCCCTCACTCCAGCAGTGAGAAGAGCAGCTGTTTGCCACAGCCAACATATTGCAACTAGCAGAAACACACGAAAGCGTGAACACAACCCTTAAGTTGACAAAAGGGATATATACATGAATAAGCCAACGATTAGACAATGCACATATGTCAGTCAGACAGTAAGTAAGCCAGTAAGCAGGTAAGTGAGCAAATAAGTTTAGATACCCCCCCCCCCCCACACACACACACATATCATATAGACATCACACACGTAGTTTTGACTCGCGCACCGCGCCCACAAGCTGTGCCAGCCGCACGCGCATTGCACGCGATGTCTGACTGGCAGCATCTCTCCATTCGCATCTGTCTGGTCACCTATGTGGTGCACATGGGAAGCCTGGTTTGCTGGTTCCTTGCCGCAGTTCGAGGCGGGGGTAGTTAGTGCGGGGATATGAGAAGAGCAAGGAGGAGGAAAAATGTAATGAGACTAGTAGACATGATGATGGCCATACTGACAATACTGCCACTGCTGCTAGTGCTATGACGTAGACAAGGAGCAGGAGCAAGTGACATCATGGCCGACGACGACGACATCCGCCTCTGCTGCAAGTGTTGCTGCTGCTGCTGCGGCTTTCTGATGACTTCTGATTGAGGAATTTAGGCTGCAGGCATCGAGCGAAGAGCAGAATTGAGTTACATCAGTTACTGAATCCAGGCTGCATGTAGACTATGTTACATGCATGCAAACATACATGCATGCATCTGCACGTTTGATGCGTGCTTGTACGCATGCGTCAATATGCATCCGTGCATACAACATGGATATGTAAGCACCTTTTTTGTAAACCAAGAAGTGCATGCGGGTATGCGTGTATGCAGATCTGGACATGCACTAGCCCCAAACACCTAGAAACAGAACACGTAAATTGCAGCTGGTACCTGGCATACAGGCACACGCGCGCATGTGTACATGGATGCAGAAGTATCTGCGTGAATACACATATACAGTACATACACCTGCAGACATTTATGCAAACATACAAACATACAGGTTGCATACGTCCATACATTATATGCAACAATGCATGTCTACGTACATGCATGCACACATGCATACATGCATGCATATATATATATGTAAGTCTATATTTACATACATATATATATATATATATAGAGAGTTATACACATACATACACACACACACAAATGCATACATTTGCATTTACATACATATATGCATGCATGTGTGCATATGACGAACGGTTGTTAATGTGCATGCACATTATGCACATGCATGCATGCATGCATGCATGCATGCATGCATGCATGCATGCATGCATGCATGCAGCACCTGTACAAATGTTGACAGACCTTGAACTCAAGCTGATGTTGTCAAGAGTCAAGAAGGAATGCAAAAGAGAACAACAGCATACTAAGAAGACAGGACTCGTTTGGATTCCTATAGGGGGTTCTTAGGATTCTACTATTCGGTGTTCATTAGAGTCCCGTATTTTTCTGAACCTTCCTTGGGTGCCCGGAATTTATCTCCTCCTCCTCCTCGCGCCCTGTGCTGTCAGGGCTTAGATGCGCTAGTCTTCAACTCACGGGTGCTTTGCTTTTGTCTCCAAACTTTTAAGTGTGGAAGTAGGTAACTTTTAGAGGGTCGTTTGATGGCGGGGCCTCCTGGGTGACAGGCTGGTGTCGAAGCTCCAAAGCCGGCACGGCACCGTCAGAATATGAGTATTGGGTGGTCCGCCTGTTTTTGATCATGGCCGTTGCCGATTTCGCGCGTGGGGTGGATGGTCTCTCAGACACGTTCGAGGACGGCTCCTTTGTCAGCGTGTCTTGGCCGCTGTGAGAGAATGGGTTGGCCACCACTGAATGCTATACCTACAGCCCAAACCCTGAACCCTAAATTGTAGACCCTAAACCCTAGAAGCCTAAACCCTAAAACCCTAAACCCTAAAACCCTAAAGCCCTAAACCCTGAACCCTAAACTGTAGACTCTAAACACCCTAAACCTCAAGCTCAACCCGGAAGCTGCGGACAGCCACAAGCATAGCCCCTCACTCACAAAAAAGAGACACAATAGCACCTCGCAGTCCAAGCCCTATAGAATAGAGGGCCCTCAAAAAGTAGAAGAGGATTCTAGCATAAGGTCCCCTTTACGGCTTACTAAGTGTGACTATATGGTTCCAGTATACGGGCCTTAATGATTAGAAGGGGGTTATATGACAGTGTAGGTATATCAGGAGCCTCAAAGGAATGGCATTGGTACTTGTTTAGGCCCCTATATTGATTTAGGAACTTGATTAAGATACCCTGGTCTTACAACCCCCAAAATAGTAAGATGCATACACCGAGCCCAACAAAGACAAACGGTTTCTTAATCAGGCCCCTATATTACCTTAGTCGTAGCGTAGGTAACCTGTAACCTTTCTTATTTCCTGGGTACTATAAACCCAATATAATCCCCAAAATAGGGGATCCTAATATAGTACCCTAAATAGTAGGATCCTTATTGTAAGGACCCCCAAAGGAGAACCTTTAGTTCCCCCCAGGTACTGGATAAGTTACCCAAACCTCAGTCAATGAGCAAGCTTGTCTCCAAGAATTAGAAACATGCATGCGGCACTTTGGCAAGTGCACGACGTCGGCAATGGCGGTGTGGAGGCGGAAACAGTAGTCGAACTTAGAATGCGCATGGCGCTGCTGCTGGAGGACGATTTCGGCAGCCGGAAATGCACAGGACTGTGGTAGGAAGACCCTGCGCACCTCACAGTACACATAGCATCTGAGGCAGAAGCACGAGTGCCAAAGTGTTCAGATTTTGCAATTGAAGTCTTAGTTCCGGGGCGGACTGTGAAAAGAACGAGTGCACACCTCGCCACAGCGCGAGCACCACAAGCGCTGTGCCGACAGTTTTTTGATCTGAAATATCTATAAGTCTATAACCCATACACCGCCACATAAATCCTGATGAAAGCTTTCCCAAACTTCAAAACCTTCTGGGCCCTACCCTAAACCCTTAACCCTAAACCCTAAGCCCTAAACCTCTAGACCCTAAACCCCTCAACAGACCGAGGTGAGGTTTGGGGAAGCCTTAATTGGCATTATGGATCCCTTGCAGGAACGCTTGTAGGAAGCCTCACGGGAACCCTTGAACCCTAGCTGGACCCTGAAGAACCTACCTTTTTAGGCTTCCTTATTATGATTTCATTATATAGGTCCTTACAAAGGTAGGTTCTTTAGGGTCTAGGTAACCCCTCAAGAAAGCCCTCAGGGTCCTTGTGAGGTTTGAGGTTTGGGCAAGCTTCGAGACCCTAAGCCCTAAGCACCCGAACCCCATAAGCCCCAAAGCCTACAGGAACCGTCCTTGTGAGGTTGGGGGGAGCTTTAAATAGGCCTTATTAGATATTAAACCCTAAACCTTCCCAAAAGCCCGACGTGAGCCCTGAACCCTACACCCAAAACCCTACACCCTAAACCCTAAACCCTAAATAAACCCTACACCCTAAACCCTAAACCCTAAAAAAACCCTACACCCTAAACCCTACACCCTAAACCCTGAACCCTGAGCCCTGCACCCTACACCCTAAACCGTAAACCCTGAAAAACCCTCGAGGTTTGGGGAAGCGTTAACATCTCGGGTCGATTCTTCGCCTGGTGGCTTCGTGACCTCCTTGGCTTCCAGAGCTTTGGGCTTAGGATCTCTTTTAGGGGTTCCAGGGTTTGGGGTTTTTGGGGGTTTAGGGTTCAGGGATTTAGGGGTTTATTTGGGCTTTCGGATAAACGTGTATTGTGTTTAGGGGGTTTTGGGGTTTAGGATAAAAGCGTAGGGTTTAAGGGTTTTGGGATGTTCGGGTTCCTTCAGGGATCTAGAAGGCTTTGGGGTTCGTTAAGGGTTTCAGGCGTTTCGGGTTTAGGGTTTAGGGAAACTGTGGCCATGAAGCCCTGAACATGAAAAGCTTGAAAGCTCCTAGTCTGGGTCCGCAGCTAGGGTTTAGGGTTTTAGGGTTTTAGGGTGTTAGGGTTTAAGGTTTTAGGGTTTAGGGCTGTAGGGTTTTAGGGTTTAGGGCTTCAGGGTTCAGGGCTTTAGGGTTTAAGGGTTTAGGGTTTAGGGTTCAAAGCCGTATAGGTTATCTGTTCGTTAGATGTAGTGGCGAGTAGGGTACTAGCTTTGTGCTTCTGGAAGAGTCAACGTAGCAAATCCCTCCTGCAACTCCCAGCCTAAACCCTAAACCCTAAAGCCCTAAAGCCCTAAAACCCTAAAACCCTAAACCCTAAACCCTAAAATCCTAACGCCCTAAACCCTAAAACCCTAAACCCACACCCGAAACCCCAAAGCCTTAAAGCCCTGACCCCCTAAAACCCTAAAGCCCTAAAGCCCTAAACCCTAAAACCCTAAAGCCCTTAACCCAACACCCTAAAACCCCAAACCCTAAACCCTAAAGCCCTAAAGCCCCAAAGCCCTAAAGCCCCAAAGCACTAAAACCCTAAAGCCCTAAAGCCCTAAACCCCACAACCCTAGACCCCTAAAGCCCTAAGCCCTAAAGTCCTAAAGCCCTAAACCCCACAACCCTAAACCCCTAAAGCCCTAAACCCCTAAAGCCCTAAACCCTAAAGCTTTGAAGTCCTGGCACTCCAAGTCTGAACAATCAAGGATTTTGCTGCTGTTCCACAGCTTCACGGTCAGGCGATTCGGTCCATTTAAACTACTATGGGTTTCTGCTTGTAGTAGCAATCTAAACTACTATGGTTTCTGCTTGTAGTAGCAATCTAGTATACTTGCGGAGCTTGCTCCCTTAGTTCATGGTTGGCCGTGTTTTGAGTAGTCGTGGCTTCATATAGGCGCTCATAGCCAAAGGAGGACATTTCTATTTCCGGTTATGTTTTTGAAGCTTTGTTCATTCCACACGACTAACCCAACCTCCAGCCTGAAGCCCAAATCACTCTCTGGTTCTTAGTAGGGAATGGGGGAATGGGTTATTGGGACTACTATAGGGGACCTTAAGGGACTATTATAGGGATCCATTCCCCCATTCCCTACTAAGAACCAGAGAGATCAGTGTGCAACCAGGTGGTCACACACAGCTCTGGAGCTTCCAATGCCGCGGCTCCTTATGACAATGGTTCGATTCGGCTGTGCCACCGCCACCATCGGTTTTGGAACTGGTCTCTGCGGTGCGCTTGTCACCAACAAGCAGATATGGCAGGTTGTCTGCATGGTCTCCGTCCTGCCCTACAATGCTGTGAGCTGCTTCATGTGTGGGCGGCATCTGTGGCGAATCTTGCCACAGCTTGCGAATGGGAGTGATCCCGAATCCGGGGATTTGCTAGCAAGGTCCCGGACAACTGCTACACGTATGCTTGTTGCCCATGCCATCATGCTATCGGCTTTCCCAGCTCTCATCCACCAGAAAGTCATGATCGGCCAGAACCCGCTTATCGCACACCTGCCGGCTGCTTGGTTTCCATCCGCTGTGTACCTCTAGGTTGCTCTTATCCAGCGTTTTCTATGGGCTCCCGAATATAATATAGAAGCCAAAACAAGTAATATTACTCCTGAGTGTTTGTTATTACAGTACTACTATAAAGGAGCCCAAAAGCCCATGAAGGTCCCTACATGAGAGCGTGGCTGAAGAGTACATCCCCATCTTGAAAGGAATGGAGAAAGGCCATTTCTCTTCATCGAAGTAGCAAGGTACCTTGAACTATAGCGGGTTCCTCACTAGCGATGGGTGTACATTCCTTACCTAACGGCTTGGGCTTTGTTGTCAAGAGTCAAGAGAGACCTAGCCCTAAGCCCTAATACCCTAGACCTTCAAATCACAAAACCTGCAGCTTTATATAGGTTTCGGGGCATGGAGGGTTCCGTGAATTTGTCCCCGGTTGAGCAGCCCTTATTCATGAACCTTTTTGGAACTTCACTGTTCTGTGCCACATGTAAAGAATACGATTAGAGTTTCCGGCACTGTGCCCACCGTTTTGGCACGGGCATTGGTAACACCCCAAAGCCTAAACCCTAAATCCATAACTTAAGCCCTGGCCCCTAAACCAAGGTTGGCACATGGATTGGTAGCACCCTGCTCCCCGTCATTACGGACGTGCCTGTGCTTCCAGGTTCCTGACTAGTACCCTTTTGCTCCTCTTTTGGGTTTCCTTATTAAAACCAAATAGAGGAACAAGGGTACCCTGATTGTTACGGGAAGCCTCAAACCCTAAACTAAACCCCAAACCGTTTTTTTGTTATTTATTAAGGGGCTACTGGGGAACACCAAGGCTTTATCCGGGCAAGCATCCTAGTCCGGCTCTTGAGATCGTGGAGATCACCATGGGCTGGTTTTGCTTCTCTGGCATCGGCTAGAAATAAGCATACGGGCTTAGGGTTTAGGGTTTAGGGTTTAGGGCCTTAATAAGTAGAATAGGTTTTGGGGTTAGATTACACTGTGACTATGATAAGGAGCCCCCAGAATAGCATTGGTAATTATTTAGGCCCCTTAAATCACGACCTCAAGCATAAGCCTAAACCCCTAAACCCTCTTACCAAGTCAGCCGTTCCGTAAGTTGCCTAGGCTTATCTCTCTGGTGGCCTGTGGTCGGGTGCGGCAGTGGGGCGGACGACGGCAAATTCGTCGTCGTGGAGACGATCGGCAGCCGCATGCGCAACCCGCCTTAATGGCCGCTCCCTTATGGGGGATAGGGTGGGGGAATAGGGTTCACACCGTTTACACCCTGAACCCTAAACCCACAACTCAAACGCTACACCCTAAACCCCAAGACCCACAACCAAAACTCAAAGGCCAGACGCCAAGTCACCCACGCCCACGCCCGGACAAGGTGCAGCCCACCGTGGCAAGAGCGACTGAGCGAGCAGATCGCCAAGTGAGACGGTTGATGATTAGGGTTTAGGGTTTAGGGTTTACAGTTTAGGGTCCCGACAATGAGGAATATACCATAATTTCCAGAGTTTAGGGTCAATAAGGTCATGCTAAGGATGTATATCATCAACAGGAGGACTGGATGGAGACTAACGGCTGCGGGTGCGACTCACTAGGGCTTCAAAGGGTTCCCTTAAAAGGCTCAAAAAACGGATCTATAAGGGATCCATAGGGGTTTTAGGGCTTCGGGGTTTGGGGTTTAGGTTTTAAAGTTGAGGGTTTGAGGTATGGGGAATATAGGGGCTGAGAAATAATTAACAGCATTCCTGAGGGCTCAGAATGGGACCAACGGAAAATATACCCCCTTACATGACACTCTCACATAATAAGCTACTTCTCGTGCGTCCTCTCGCGTCCCGCGTCATCCCGCCCTCGTCCATCATGCATTTTCGACAGGCCCCCTCATGTGGCGATTCCAGTTCTTCATTAATGTATCTTAAACAGACCCCTCCTCTGGCGATTTCGGGTCATCACGCATCTTCGACACGCCCCTCATGTGGCGATTCCGGGTCCTCATAGGTCTTAAACATCACCCCCCTTCCTCTGGCGATGTCGGTTCATCATATATCTGAAACACACCCCCTCATTTGGCGATCCCGGTTCATCACAAGTTTTAAACAGGCCCCCTCATTCGGTGATTCCGGTTCATCATTTCTCTTAAGCACGCCCTTGCGGTTAATCATATATCGTAAACACGCCCCCTCATGTGGCGATTCCTCTTCATCATAAATCTTAAACATGCCCCTCATTTGGCGACTCCGTTTCATCATATATTAAACATGCCCGCCTCATTTAGCGATTTCGGTTCATCATATTTTTTGATGTATACATATCATATCATATCATATATCTTAAACGTGCCCCTTTGGTGATTCCGATGCATCAGATATCTTAGACAGACCCGTCCTTTCTTGATTCGGGTTCTGATAGGTGGACAGATAGACAGTATAGATAGCACCAAGCTCCGGTGTCCCACGCCCCTCGTCCCACGTCCCTCCTCCCGCATCCCGCGTCCCGCATTCGGTCCCGCGTCCTGCGTCCAGTGTCCCACGTCCTGCGTCCCGCGTGCCGCGTCCTGCGTCCCGCGTCCCACGTCCTGCATCCCGCCGCCTCCGCGACAAAAAAAACCTATACCCGATTCTCATTTTGTTGCTAGTTATGGCAATGTTATTATCATGCTCATGACATTGGTTCTGACTATACACTGTTGTCGTCAGTAGATTGTTATGAACTTGCAATGATGTTTATGACGAGTTAGATGCCGCAACCGGTCGAGTCATCCACTTGGCGTGCTAATGCAACGCCTTTGTGGCATTGGACCTTCTGTGGGGTCCCCGACAGGCTTTGACTGTCGCCAGGCAGCTACAAAAACCTGCCATCAACTGCTCGGCTATGTACTTCATCATGTACCTGCAGTTTGTGGTGGGCCGAAGGACTTTGCTAGCACTATCATGTTAGCTCATCATGTTCGCACTGAGCAGGCTGACGTGCACAATCATCTTCCAAAACTGCTGCTGAGCAATCATGCTTTCCACGACGGGATGGCTTGGCAATGGCCCAGCTTGGGCTGTCTCAATAAGGCAGCTTCGTGGGCAGCTCTGTACATTGGGGTTCCCTTTTGGGTCCCCAAAATAGTACGGTACCCTTAACAAAAGAACCCTAAAAGGGAGGGGCCCCAAATTTAGAGAGCTGCCCATGCGCAGCTCCACTGCCAGAACCTGCTATGCTGAGCAGCACTCAATCCATCTTCACAACACCGGGCCTCGCAGGGTGCCGAAGAAGTCCACACCCTAAACCCTAAACCCTAAACCCTATACCCTAAACCCTAAAACCCTAAAACCGAAAACCCTAAACTGTGATACAGGAGTGACTATAGTAGTGGCACTTTATGGTGGTGATAGCAGCAATAGTAAGCAATAGTAGCAAACAGCACTATTTCTGATTCTTATTTTGCAGTGCCAGTGTCTCACCTAAATTACCAGTCAGATCATGAAGCCCAAATCCGAAATCCCGACCCTTCGGCACCGAATGAGAGGGTAAACGCTTCTCAAGCCCGCAAACCCAGACCCTAAATCCATCGAAACCCTGAGCCTTCCTAAGCCCTAAACCCTGAAGCCCAAACCCTAAACTTTGTAAACCCCTAAAGCTTTGGATCGGCGCGGCAACCGCCGGAAGGATTCCGAGTCTCTTTTTCCTACCCGCAGCAGTCGGTGCAGCTCTTCACCTGCCCACCTGTTCTGCTTCTGATGGAGGCAGGGCTTAGGATCATTTAGTTTGTAGACTTCAATGAGTCCCAGGGGTCCCCACTAACAAATGGACTCCAGTACTTCAGGGCAGTACTTAAGTTTGTAGGCTTCCTAGGCTAGAAGGATCGAGGTTAAGGGTGTAGAGTTGAGAGGTTTTTGGGGTTTAGGGTTGAGGGTCTAGCGTCTAGAGTTTGAGTTGCCGTAAAACCCGGAGCCCACAACCCTAAACTAAACTCGAGATCCGACGTCTTACTTCGCGCGAAACCCTGCGCAGCCCATGTCACCAGAGTATGCCCCGGGCGGGCGACTGGCGCTGGATGTCTGCTCACAAAGTCCTTGAAGAGTTACGGCGCTTAGGGTCTGTAGGGCTCTAGGGTTTGGGTGATAGGGTTTAGGGCTTAGCGCTTGAGGGTTCAGAGGTTTTGACACCTGCGAGGTTTACACGAACTTAAACTCAAAAAACCAGACTGCGAGTAATCGCCCTAAGCCCTAAGTCTTAAATGGGTAGTTCTCTAAATTAGGGGTCCCTTTTGGGGGTCCATTTTATAAGGGGTGCCCTACTATATGTTGGGGATCCAAAATAAAAAACTACCCAAATCCTTATAGCCCTATAAACCCTAAACCCCAAATCCTTAGCCCTATAAATCCTAAGCCCTAGGGTCGCAGACCTAGGCTTCGTTTCGTGCCGGTCCCGTGAAGCCTTCGGCCAGCCAACGTCCAGAGCCCGCTTCCGCCTTTAGTCTTCTTAGGGAAATTTGGTGTAGGGTTTATAGGCTTCTTAGGGAATTTTTGGTTTGGGGCTTATAGGGTTTATAGGGCTTTATTGTCACAAGACTCCAAGAACTTATTCGACGCATAGTTTTTCGCATTATGGCTCGGAGGGCTCTTATTATGTAGACCTAAACCCCCCCTGTATAGACTCTGAAGAGCCCTTGTGGCTGTAGAACTCTTATAAACCCTAAACCCTAAAGC